CTGGGTTCCCCCACCCCCCCCCCCCCCCAGAAAAAAAAAAGGCATGGTCTTGCAAAAAGTGATCACGAAAGAGGTGAGAATATTGAACTCTGAAAAGAAAAAGGGAAAACTTTCACCTCGCATGAGGAGCGAGTAGGCATAAGCTACTTAAGTCCCTATCAAAATCGTAGAGGCTCCAATACCATTTGAAAAGAGAATTTTAAAAAAAAAGAAAAAAAGAAAGAAGAAACTCTCATGAAAATTAGCGAAACACACAAGAAAGTAATGGAAGTTCTTTCAATTCTTGGAATTCTGAAATTATGATCACACAAGGATTAAGAATGTCCAACTTAATACTTCTTAGTAGATCTCTTTTGAATTTCGCGAACAAATGAAGTCGTTAAGACTAATCTTAGTGATTGTATCAAATAATATACTTGGATTGTTGTCTCACTATCACACTCAACACATCCTTCAGTGCATGTCAGAGGTGATGGCAATCACTGATCCCAGCAATCACAGGTGCATAAATAGGCAGATTTAGTCTACATATAATCCGAAAGGATTTGGAGGGGAAACACAATGTCTTACTTGTGCAACAAGAGCAACCAATTGAGGATGACTTGAATTCCCATAGAAAGCAACTGCAAAACTGCGATGATAGTTTAAAGTCAAACACAAAACAGCAACACACTCAGCAGCACAGCAACAGAAAGATCATGAACTTATTTCTACAGTCGAGCAAAAATAAACATTTGCAAACTAATCTTAATGCAAGAAGGCAAGCAGAAAAATGCCCATAAGTCGGCAACAAGTGCCACTTCCGTAATGGTTGAGATCAAAGCAAACTAGTACTACTGCAGACTGTTTATATACAACTTCAAACAAGATTTAGCACAGTGGGATGCTGATAGAGTTGTTCAAACTACCTAAGATAAGGTGAAATGAGAAGGAGAGAAAGACAACAAAACAGTTGCATGAATTACTTTAGACAAAAGGCTGGCTAGAGACACAGTTTTCCTATTTAAATAGACAAAACAGTATGAACAGTGACCAAAATGAAAATGAAAACCCAGTTGAATGTAGAATGGATGGACTTTTACCTAAGAAAAAGAGCATCCAGCCACTTCTAAATAGAGATAACAGGTCAAAAGCAAAACTGGACTTATCACTCCCTACTACTAACTTAACCATGTTTGCTAATTAAATTAACAAAATTTTCAGGCATACTAACCGCTTAAGCCGCAACATTGATCTGTGGAGAGCAACGAAAAGACAAGTGCTTCCAACCACTTCCTGCAAGGACCAAGGAGAAGCAATAGAATTGATCATCATGGAAATGACATATTATAAGAGATAGTGAAAAGTATTCCCAATTGATGGATTCAAAGTGGTAAAGTTGTATGGTAAGAAATCATTGGTACTGCATAGTCCAAGCTGTTAAAGCTAAATTTGATTAACTATGCCATAAGGACATGAAGATAGATATAGAAATGTAGAAATAAAGTACAAATCAAGTTGACTCATCAGACTCGTTTCTAGATGTAGTTTTAAAAGGTGAAATGATCCAATCCAATATCCCATCTGTCAGCAATATAAATTGACAAAACTACCATATTTTAAAGAGTGTTTTAAATAAAAAAATTTAACTAGTAGAAGTTGGACTAATATTAACCAGCCTAGCTTGTCGAGAATGAAGACGCCTGATGACTGTGAATAACCTTTAACTATGACAATATACTGAATCAAAACAAGAAAAATGAAGGTGGATTATTGAAAAGAACACCTCATCACTGGGAAAGACAAAAGTTGCTGGCTTCAGGTTATGATAGTCCTTTAAGCAGCTCAATGGCTTGAAGCCCAGCAGACGAAGATGTCCAGTTGAAACTCTTTTGACTTCTGAAAGCTCATCCACAGAAAACATGACATTCTCACTGAAACAAAAAGGGACAAGACATCAGTGAATGACTGAATAAGTCTACCAGAGTCGAGTTGGGCTTGTCATTTGGTAATTAAGTGAAGCAAAATTTAGCAAATCAAGGAAACTCAAATTTGAATTTTTTCTAGGATACCCAAGTTCACTACATAATCTTTTTTTCTAGGATACCCAAGTTCACTACATAATCTTTTTCAATACATAAATGGTGAGGATTTAACAACCTGTTCCAAGTCCCAATGTATCCATACTCTCTTAAATTAATCAGAAAATTTTGGAAAAAATGCAACAAAAGAGCACTGTTAGGAGCTGAATACTAATATAGTTTGTGGAGAGGCTTGGTAATGTTTTGACTTCTCTTTGGATAATCTGCAAAGAGATTGAGCTACCTTTGATCTTGTCTTTTTTACTATTTTCTGGTAGTACGAGCTATCGTTAGTGGTTAAATTTTGAAGTGTTTTCAAAGAAACAAATAATAATTCACTCTACCCGTTGGAAGTGAAAAGGTTTTACTGAAATTGATTGTTGACAAGATACGAGAACACTCACTATATAGGATATAGGAGGTTGAGCAACGTGAAATAGGGAAGGTCTCTTACAATTTTTTGGGTTCTGAAATATGGCACATTCTTTTTATGATGGTGGTATCTGGTCAGATTGTGTGCACCTCGACTAATTTCATCTAATATCTACTACATCCTGCCAGTACACGTATCAGGTATTCCCCCAAGGCTTGGGCAGATGAGAAAATATCACCTTGTGTTTATTTTATCTCTAATGAAAATTGAAACTGAAACCTCATGGTTCTCCCACCACTTCATTAATAACATAATATTCTTCAGTCTTTTATAGGACAAAGCAAAAAAGTCAACAAAACCTATGGAGCATTACGAAAAGAGAAGAGAACTTACACTTCTTCAAAGTGTAGTGCACAATTTTCAAAAATAAAAGGTTTCTGTAACATGCATGAATTCAGTACCTGTAACATCACATTGTAGCTAGACTGACTAATTTCAACATCCAACAATGACAACTTTAATTAAAGCACTCAAAATGATCATCATTAAAATATAATTGCAGGCCATAGAATGGTACTCCAATACAAACTGATTTTCAATTCCCAATTTATCAAACATTAGAAAAAGTAATTTTTTTTTATAATTATTTATCAAACATTAGAAAAAGTAATTTGCAGTATTCAGTTTCATATTAAATTGTTGAATATATATAATAAGAAGATTATTTGTCAAAAAAATAATTAAAAAATAAAATAAAATATATATATATATATATATACACACACAATAAGAAGATTTGGAAGAAACATGAAAAATGCCACCCAGACATTTATCTAAAATAAGGATAATTGAAGAGAGAAGCCTAGATTCAGAGTAGAAGAAGAGGAAGGAGTCATTCTTTTAAGAAACAGATACCGACTTTTTGTAAGACTGAAAGCGTTTTGGAGGCTCCTGAATTATAGCAGCAGTATCAGCACATATGAAGGATCTCTCAGTCTGTAAACAAGGAAGAACACAGAAGAGGTTAAAGACTTGCTTTATACCAAATCCCAACACAAACCAGAACTGACATTTCATTAACTTTTCTACCAACTTCAATGATAAGTGACAATTTGGAAATGGTGACTTACCCTAGAAAGTGGGATTCAGAAACAAGCCGACACAAAATTCCTCAATAACTTACCAAATATTAATATGACATGGCAAAAAATTATTGTCGCTGCATGCATGAAATATGTGTTGAATATGAGCGTCCAACAAAACAATTTAAGGCAATGGACAGAACAGCTCAGACCTTTAGAAATTCCTTATACAAAGTTGAGTCTTCTTTTTATTGGGAAAAAATATCCTATATGGGACATTATGTAGCTCCACAACCACCTGTAACACCTTCCCAACATACAGCCCACCCAGAATTTAATCCATTACGTATAACAGTCTATCCAATTTCAACCATGTTATACATAAATGTTCCCCAGCATACCCTCTCTCACCTACAGCCCCCAACTGTTTTTACTTCTTATCTTCTACTATGCAAACATTATACAAATTTAAATGCTTAGACTTGAACTTACATAAAAACCAAACCAATCAACTCCTCCTCAATCTCAAACTCATTGGGGCCAGCTATAATAATCCTCTATGTCCAACCCGCTCTAGGCTGAAACTATTTTATTCTAAAACAAAGGGCCGGTTTGTCATAATATTATTTCAATATTTACAAACACGGCACATCAGTATTTGCAAAAACTTGTTTGGCCATAAATATATAAGCATTTGAACACTAGGTGAAAGATTGAGGTATTGGTTTAAAGGTGTATTTCAAGTGAAACACAGGTTTCTAATCTCAAATCTTCAACTACCACAAAATACTTCTCCATTCATTCTCGAACACTACTTTAACTTTCACAAACTTTTTTCAATTTCAACTATAATACTTCTCATTTAGTAAACCTTGTGTCCTAGATCTAACACACCTAGTAGACACATCCATCCATCACTAATCTGAAATAGAGAGTAATAACTTCTCCAATGAACTCCATCAGCTCTACGAGCTTGTTTGGTTTCCCGTATAAGAAATAGTAATTTCAGTGTAGTAAACAGTATAAAACACAACATTTAGATTAGAAAGCTGAGTACCCAAAACAAGAGCTTGATGATGAATTGGCTGTGGAAATTTGTCTCACCAGAAGTATCTCTATGGAAGGAAGTAATGACAGAAAAATATGGCATGGAGGACAAATGGATGACAGAGGTGGTGACCAACCCTTACAATTGTAGTGTATGGAGATCTATCAGGAACCTATGGCAACAAGTCAGGGAGAGAACAAATTGCAAGGTGGGCAATAGAGAAAAAGTAGCTTTCTGGAATGACATTTTGTGTGGACAGGAAACGCTCAAACATGATTTCCCTGTACTACGTAGCCTGAACCAAGCACAAGAAGCAACAATGGCAGAATTATGGACAGAACAAGGGTGGAACCTGTTTCTAAGAAGGAACCTAAATGATTGGGAAATGACAACCATAGCAAGATTTCATCACACAATGCATATGGCTACCAATCTGACAGGAGAGGAAGATAGACTATTATGGAAGGGGGGGAGGGGGGGAGAATTCACTGTAAAATCAGCATACAGAGAACTCGGTTCTACTGAGGTGCAGCAAACAGGATGGCCATGGAGGATGATCTGGAGAACAAAAATTCCCTACAAGGTGAATTACTTCACATGGCTCTTGACAAAGGAGGCAGTCTTGACACATGAGAACTTGAACAAGAGGAAATCTAATCTATGTTCTAGATGCTATCTATGTGAAAACAGGTGGAGACGGTCAACCTTCACTTTTTACACTGCAAATGGACAGATCAATTGTGGCAGATGTTCATCCACAAGAGGAAGATCAAGTGGACAAAGCCTGGGAGAATTATAGAAGGCCTACAATGCTGGAACAGGGATGGAAATGCAGAAAAAAAAAAAAGAGGAGATGGAGGATTGTCCCAGCTTGCATTTGGTGGACAATTTGGAAGGAAAGGAATCAAAGATGTTTTGAAGGAAAACAGAACAATATTCAGAAGATAAAGACAAACTGTCTAGGGCTGTACTATTTTGGTGTAAGCAAGTAGTGATAGGAGTTATTGAAGATGTTTAATGTTATTGATTAGCTGTAACTAGAATATCTTAGGAATGATGTAAGTAGAACTTTTTGGAGGGGGACTACACTTTGATGTAGTATACCTGTAGATATATAGAAGTGAATGTTACCTTTATAAAAAAATTAAAAAAAAATATTTAGTTTGTGGTACAAAACTTTGCATTACTAGAAATGCATTACAATGGTAACACTGTTTAATTCCCCTATAATCACATAAGTCACATAAATAACATATAACGGGATTCTATGTATTATTTTTTCAAGATAGAATGTGAACTAAGAAAACTTATAGTATTAGAAATACCTAGATAGGAGCGCCTAAAATGCTTTAGAAGGACTTGTTTGGTAAATAACAGCATTTTCGATAAATATCATGATAATTTTCTTACAAGGTTCCCTGTTTGTTTTGCTATGGATTCATTGCCAAGATCTCCATAGGATATTCATTGACCTAAGAGTGTCTTCACATGATTGGTCGGCAAGGAAAACCAAAAAAATTGTTGTATAATTGGGATGTACAGAGAAGTGAAATGAAAAACTTATACTGGCTCTTCCACAAAAATGTATAGCTACAAACTGCAATCACCCATCTAAAGGCTGACAAATATATTGAAAGATAGATGGTCAAATGAGATTTTTCTTTGGACGAAATGACCGTAAGAAAGAAAACAACACTGTACCCTCAACGAATAGTCAAAAGATTGCTGCAAATCCATTACAATCAGAACTAATAAAAATCAAAACCCCAAGAAGTGCAAAAGTTAGTTATGAACAATAATTCTCTTAATCCCCCTCCCACTAAACAAGAGACACACATAAACTCAACAAAATTGATAGGGAACTTCCAAAGAACAAAAGAAACAAGGTTAAAAACAAAGCATGACGATGAAGCTAAAAAGTACCTTCAAAGGAAGATTAGTCATCGAATCAAGCCAAGTAATTGTCCCTACAGAAAAATAATAAGAATATAGCGTTTACTTATAGTCGCCTCACAGTAATCATTACCTAATAAAAGATAGGACAACAAAGGCAGACCTGGATTAGTTGGACGGATCAAAGCATAGGTGTTAAGTTCGATAGATAATCCATTAAAAATCGCAAATCTAAGTCTTCGAACTCTGCGCTTCTTAAACATTCGTTTCCTTAGCTGGTCGTTCAGATCTTCAAACCTGATATAGCAAACATAGGAAAGGAACACATGAAAACAGGGACCAATACATTTTCAGTAAATTTAGGCTCTAAAAGAATAACAAATCTAACAGGCTCAAAGTGCATTCAACACCTTAACACCTTGCAAAAATTGACATTTATTATCTAGTCATCTTGATCATAAAGAATAAAACCACAAATTTTGGAAATGCAGGAAGTTATAAAAATGCATAATTTAGTAACATAGGCACAAAACACACCACCAATCAGATTCCTAGATAAATAAAGGACATGTACAAGCTTGAGCTGTTTAACAGCCTACAAAGCACATACACCAGATCTTGAATGTCTGCACAAATTGCATTCAACCCAATTACCAGATCTGGTCATCTCACCTTCATGTTATTTGGTTTTCTACATTCGAGTATTTATGTCATCAATCAAGAAAACAAATAAATAAATAAAACTAACAAGCAAATTTGTGAACATTCATATCAACCTTTTGGACCCTCATTTCTCTCTGAATGCACAAAATGGATCATCTTCTTTCCGTTGTCATCCACTTAAAAAAATCCTCCTTGTTCAAGACTATTATTCAAATAACTGAGTAAGTTTTCCAGTAACCAATACCTATTGAAGAAATGGAATCTGTCCTTCGGTGAAGCCTAAAATGGGAAGGTAAAGGAGCTTTGCTGATAGTCTGGAGATTCTATATTCTATCTTTAGTATTATGCTACCTTTTTTTAAAAAAAATGTATTATGCTTTTCTTAATTGCGTTATACACAAGTTGATGTATTTTTATGTCCTTTGCATGTTCTTTTTTTTCTGATAACCGCGAAATCTGTTTGTGACCCGCCCTTTGGACCAATCACAGCCTTCTAAACTCGGTGGATAATGGGCCCGCCCCTCTACCCTTCTCCACCTAAATACCAGGTTTCGCTTTGCATGGTGTGGGGATTGAACCTGCGACCTAAGCCACAAATCCTCCACCTTTTGCCACTTGAGCTAGGCCTTGGGGGCAATTTTATGTCCTTTGTTTTTTATGTCCTTTGCATGTTCAGTCCCTCTAATTGTCAAAGTTCTATTTCTTTTTCACTGTATTCATGTCTGTTCAATGCTACTCCAATGGAACAACCACATGGTATTGGAAAATATATTTTCCTATTTTCATTTACCAGACATATAATGTCTGTACCTAATTATATTGGACAATTATCTTGTCTGTCTTGTATACCTTTGCCAGTCCCTCAGCAATCTGTCTGTATAGCAATTATTTTAGAAACTTCAATAGTATTATATGACTATGTTGTGTTACTTACCCAAAAAAATCATGCATACTCCCACACACTGTATAAAGGCCTAGACATAAGGACAAATTCATCTTAAGAAACAGATAGAGAACTCTGAGTATTAATATACAAGAATCTGAATTTCAATCAGTACTTCACTACATGTATCTTTCAAGAAATGGAGACCACAGGTGCAACCGTTCATGCTTCCAGCATGAAACTTCCTAGCACTACTATAAGAAGCTGTAGGAAAGAAAACTTAGGTGATTTGTTCTTCTTGAACATTAGATCAACAACTACACATTAGATAGACAACAACTAAATCGTAGTCCCAAGCAAGTTGGTTTCGACCATATGAATCACCGCTTCTTTATTTACGCTCATTTCATATTGTCATCGTACTAAATCTTCATGAACATTAGATCACTTAGAGAAATATCTACACAACAACTGACTACATCATCTCGATCACTGAAAGAAAGCATGACTATATGTAACAAGTTCTTATTTTGGACTCCTTTAATGAATAATTATTAAGCACACTACGGTAAATTGTGTCAACAAATATCAAGTCCTTCAGAAAGTAGTTTAACATTTTAGATGGAGATTCATCAATTGACTAGTGCAATCATATGAGACAGCCATACATATACTGAGCATACTAATAAACTTGAATAGCTCACAACTATCCATGGGGAATCCTCAACAGTTGAAATCTTTTGTAAAGTATACCTCTCTCCTATCAGAGCTTTGAACTGAGCAAGGTCATCACCCTCCAGACCAAGTAAATCCTGAAGCCAAAGATCTTGAATTAGATAACAACAACATGCAACAAAGGATCTCAAAAATAAATAATGGTCATACAGCATAAAAAAGGGAAACGTTGAACTCATCATCTGGCCGGCTTAGTGGAAGAAGCTCAATTGTAATACCAAGATCTTGAGCATCCTGCAACCATTAGCGCTATGAGTAGAATAGTATTGTAATAATCGTTCAAGAAGTCACAAAACAATCTCAATTTCACTCAGAGTTATCTTCACATAAATTTACTTTTTCCTTTGGGACTTGTTTTCAACTGACTATAATATTAATATATAAATATGTGGCATAGATACTATACTTTGGCACGCTGCATCGTTGTCCTCATCATATCCACTTTTATGACACCTTTGAGATTACCAAAAGGATCATCTTCATTTGTAAGCAAGAGAATGCGTTTATCAGCAGTTTTTGCAGATCTGGAAATGGTTTGAACACAAGTAAAATAAGAGGGTGCACATCATTTCAGGGGAAAACAAAAAGGAAATGAGCAAATTTTACCCTTTACGGAGAAGGGCTTGTGCAACCCAAAGAGCATTGTAAAGAGAATTCTCACGAGAGCCAGGCACAATTCCATACTTACTTCCTATTTCTTTTTCAAATCTTTCTGCAAACAAATTAAACAGGTAATTGCAGCACAAGTCTAGAAAACCAAAAAAATTCACACTGTTTTTCCTTGAGTTTATTCATTGACGAGGCAAGACATTTAACTGATCGTATAGAGGACAAAGCTTTCTCAGTCCATTGACATAGCAGAAAATTCACCGCACTATTATTAATTAAGTATGCAATAACATCATTTTAGGGTTTTCCAGTTTGCTGGTCAAACAAGGACTAATAAAGTACTCCATACGACGATTGTGAAGAGTCAGTAAAAATGACTGCTTCTACATACATTCAAGAGCCTATGTTCCTTTAGGCAGATTGACAACAAGCCAGAGTCCTCAGAATGCAAAGTATAGAAAGCACTAAGGTTTTAAGTGCAAAAACTGAAATTTAAGTGTGGGCTTTAACAAAGAAAGGTGCTAATGAAGCAAAATTAAGAGTACCTTCATGGATGAGTTTTTCCTCTTAAGTCTGAGAAACAGCTCATATTTACAAGGAAAAAAAAGACGAAAAATGATGATACAACAACTTGGCACGAGTCACTTTGCTTATGTGAATTTTGACTGTAATGATGTGACCTAAGATGAAGCAATTTGAGGACCAATGTTGAATCTAGTCAAAACAGAGATAGGTGCAATACTACACGCCCACCAAAAACTAAATTAGAGACCGATATGATGATTTACCTTCTATTTGATCAAATTCTTTAATTAGCCTAGCTGTTGGTCTGTCCAGATCCTCTCTTTCTGGAACATTAAATACATAAACGCCACTTAGGTCCTGCAAGTTCTTTTTTTCCCGCTGAAATCACAAAAAAAAAGAACATAAGAAAAAATCATCACTAAAAACAAATTCTCAAATTTGGTTTTCCCTTATCAAAATTTGGAAATACTAATAATAGGAAACAAAAACTCGAAACAGGTGTTAGTTAGGGGGGAAATAGCAAAAACAAATCTGCCTTGATAGAAGTGGCCTTTAACCCACCTAGTCTGCTGCATAACAAGAGCACATACATCTGGCCCACCTAAATAATATTTGATCAGACTTATACAGTACAAGGAAGACTTGGATCCCACAAGTAAATGAAAATCTATGTCCACATTTTTTTAGAATAAAGGAAAATACAAATCCACACAGAATTCTCAAGTTACAACCAAGGTGGAAAAGAAGGTCCAGCAAAGGTTAGTTCAGGATTTAATTTTTTTTGTTTTCTTCCTCATTATTTATTTTTTATTTTTTTGGGTGGGGGGAGTAAGTATAACTCTGAAATAATTTTGTAGATAGAGAAAAGCAGCGATTAAAGATATTATAATCATAATAGGGTAGACACAGCTTCTAGAGAACAAGGGCTTACAGTGTTAAAGAAGCATATAGAAACTTCATCATAAGACCTATTAATAATCTGAGTTCTGAGAGATTGTGCAATGGAATTGATGGCAACTTGAAAATGAGTTGCAGTCTTTTCATCATCCTGCAAAAATGAAGAAATGAGTGGGATTCCACACTTACAATCAAAAGGTGAAAATGCTAAAGAAAACTGAGAAGATGCTTTTAAGAAAAATAGGCTCCTAGGATCCCCTAGAATATTTTAATGAAAGTAACACAAACAAGGTGCCAAATATTGGTTTGGAACCTGCTGTTAGCCCAATTAAGCTTTTCATTCCTCCAGGCTCCAGCTGCAAGTTCAAATCACACCAACAAGACACCAGGAATATCGCATGAACCATTTTAACAATTGTGCTTTGAAAGCTATGCTAAGGAGGTTGAATCACTAGTTGATTATTGATATGATAGGATCCTTGTAAAGCAGTAGCTTAAGCTTGGTTGGGATTTTGTAAAGTCTCTTTGCCCTGTTAGGGTGCAACTTTAATATATATATTCATTACAAGTTTAAAAAAAAAATGTGCTTTGCAAGAAATGCCTTTCTATATGATTATAAATTAGTTTCTATAAGACTTCTACAATAAAAGTTCCATCTTTATTAGCTTAATAACCTATCACCAAGTCTCTCTATTCATCTCTACCAAATGAACTAGTTTGTTAACCATACAGCTTAAAATGCACATTTCCATTTAACAAAAAGCAATAGAAATCCAACCTCAAGGAGATGTCCCTTTCCAGAAAAAACAACTCCTAACAGTTGTGCTTTGCAACCCCAAAAGTTAGTTCATAGTTCAAGACGGGGTGATTGCTCAAGTCCATATAAGCAGAGCGCTTTTCCATTCCCCAATAAATGTGGGAACCAAACCCACTCTAACCAACCAACCCCTTTACGCCCAGGTCCTACTGGAGCATGGACCGAGAGCTCAAACATGAATGGACCTAACTTTAATACTATGTAATGATACGGCACCTTGAACTCTACTCAATCGGATTATAAATTAATGTCTAAAAGAAATTCACAGTGAAAAAAGTCAACTTTATCAGTTTAAAGTGAAGTGGAGTAACGGGAACTGACCAAAATCAATCAAAATGAGAAAAGCAGCTGGTAAAAAGGACTAACCGTTGGGCAAGTAGTGGAAAACATTTTAGGTGAAGCATCCACAAGATACACCAATAATTCCTTAATAGCATCTCTTTCCTGCATGTTTAGTTTTGATACATAAAAATATCAAATAGCTTAATAATCAATATTAGCCCAAACAACCAAGTGAAAAATCATAACAATTCCTTACAGGAATCTCTTTCCTGCATGTTTAGTTTACCCATTTCCCATTCCCCTACCCCTAATTATTTATTTATTTTTAAAAAGGACAAGGGGCTTACCTTGAAGAATTCATTTTCAGGGTCATCTTCATCGTCACGAAAGACTTCATCTGGGTCGAGGTCCATTGACATATCGAAGATTTTTTTGAACAAAGCAGTTGAAGTCACTTGAAGAAATGAAGAAGCTTTAGGTTTTAAAATGTGACTTGTTCTGAATATAAGCTTGTTGGAGAAGGAGATGCCCTCCCGCCTTATTTTCAATAGGGCATTTCCGTAATTGAATTGCCCAAGACATTTTCATTTTGCCAGGTGGCTCTTGCAATTTTTTTAATGTGGTACTATGTGCTTGCATGTTTGTACTTTTAGGAGTTACCATTGTAGAATTTACAAAGTTTTTAAATGGAGTCCACTTTGACTAAAAAACCATGATACCTCATATTATTAGCTTTTTATTGTCTGATTAATCGACTCAATACATTCTGCGAGAAAGAAATGTGTTGTTTTATAACTTCTTTAATCATGTAACAAGAGAAACCAAAAACCAAAGTTAAAGGAAACAAATACATCTTACCTTTGTATAGGTTACATTTCTAGATATAGGATCCTTGTAGTAGGCTGGATCAAGATCCAATCGAAAGAAGATAGGCTTTAGAAACAATAGGTTGGGAAAGAAAGAAAACGCTTTGTGCTATAGGTAGTTGGTTGGTTGAAAGGAAAATGTCCAACTTCGTAAATGACATATTCAAATTTGCTCAGCTACATCTTCAGTATGATTTCACAGTTACTCGAATGACAGCATGGTACATTCAAAGAATCATGAAGAAAAAAGAACAAATAGAATTATGATAAGGAATATGAAATGTTTTACAATCAGCAGCGAAGCTAATTGTGTAACCACTTGCAATGTGAAACACCTTTCGACCCAAAAATAAACCAATGATGTATAAATACTGAACATAAACTACAACCGGGGCTTACAAAAATTTTAGGGCAGTAATTGACCCAATTCAGACAGTATATGCATCATCTGGTACCCAAACAAATATAATACATGATAAATGCTGTGTGCATTTACGACCATCCCTCAACCCCCAAACCCTCCTATACCAAATAGAAAGGCCACCAATGAATAATCCTAACGTTTTCATCTGTATAAAAATGAACTACTACCAAGACACTCGGGAAAAAAGACAATGACATCCAGCAAAGAGGCATCTTCTGACATAGAATAGCCCACTTCACAGCGACTCATCAAGACCACACAGCAAAAGAAAAAGCAGGCCTAGTTGCAACTTCATCTTCTGCCCCTGAGTAACCAAGGTACATATTGGGATGATTACTCATTGAGTTTTGGCCAAAAGCAAACCGGTTGACCAAAATCATGAAGCAACTACTGCTGACGCCTTCTCCATTTTTTCTTTCTCTATCTCCACTCTTCTCTGCTCAGCATGCTGAGCAACACCATTTGCCAATGCTTGATAACGGAAGTCCAAAGTCTGGGTCAGGCTCTGGAACTTCACTGGATCAGATGCTTGCATAGCTGGATCCAACAGTCCAACGTTAGAAGGGACAAAATAAGTGAGCCCATTGCCCAACACCAAGCAAAAAGTCATTTCTGAAAACAAAATATGCAAGCAGCATCATACCTTTGATTGTTTCCACAAAGAAAATGAATGGGTCCACCTCATCAAGGGGTGATTGCATCTCTTCATCATCATCACTAAAATCGTCATCGGAGTCCTCATCATCATCGTCCTCGTCATGTGAGCGGAAAGCCTTTGCCTACAAAAGCAGAACAAGATGTCAAAGCTTTTAGAGATGCTAACTCTAATGGCGGCATTCTTTATCTTGAACTAGAGACATCCAGGCCTCCATCTGTAATAAATTCTCCTACAAGAAGCCATCACACAAAGGTAATCTACAGAAGGTACTTCAAATTCCTTCATGTTCTGAGGCACGAAAAATGTCACTACCAAACTCATGCCATCAAGTACACAACCGACATAGTTCTTGATATATCATAATCATTCTAAAAGACCCTATGTGTTCTCTTGTTCAACCTCATTCAAATAAAAATCTTGTGCTTTCTCTGCAATATGTTGCTCAACTGTTGTCCTATAAAGGATAGAAACCAGATCCCGTCTCAAGCTGCTAATTCAATAGTTAAAAATACAAATTCCGACTCCTCAACAACAACACACCCAGTGTAATCCCACAAAGGGGTCTAGGAAGGGTGGTATGTACGCAAACCTTACCCCTACATTGTGCAGGTAGAGAGGCTGTCTTCTGACCCCCATTCAGGTTAAAACAAAGCAGAAAGTAATAGATGACTCTACTCCACCAAAAATATGCATCAGCTGTACAAATTCCAATAGTACAAGCACAGTTTTAGTAATCACCTGTGCAGCCAATTTTTGAAGCCTAGTACTGTCAGCTTCATCCCCTTCCTCAGCATCATCCCCCATTTCCTTGTCAGACTCGTCATCTTCGTCGTCATCCTCATCAGTTTGCAAGCCATTCATATCATCATCGTCTTCTGCCTCATCCTCCTTAGCCGCTTCTAAACACGATGATAAAAATTGATAAAAATATTAGATGAGTGTACATGGTGTAGTAATGTACCAGAAAATGAAGAAAATGCTAAAATAAGTTTAACCTGCTACTTGATCTTTATAGGCAACAAGCAGATCTAGAGTTGCTTTGAAAACACGATCTAAGGCTTCCCTTGGGAATTGATCCACAGGAAGAGGGAGCAAAGATGTCAAACCCAAGCAGCAAACCTTTTTGTCATGTTCCCTGCAAAACAATATAAGGAGCATAACATTAGTGGGCCTGTTTACCTGCTAATTCATTCAAAATTGTTTAAACTTCTCCTTTTTCATTGGAAACAGCAAGAGTAACAGGCCCTCTTCACCTTTTAAAGTTAACCCGTTTTCCGCTCTTTTTTGTTTGTCCCAACATGTGAAACCAGAGATTAAACACCTCTGTAGCAATGCCAAGCTTTTGAAGGATGTTCCATGTCAAGGGCGCATTGTAGTAAAGAGCATCAGCTATCTGCCAAAAGGAAAATTATCAAAACAATAGAAACATCAGCAACCTGTGAAACAAAATCTAGAAAAGAACAATAAGCTATCAGCAATCTGAGTACCAATACTTAAAGCACATAGAAACATCAGCAATTTATCATATGTATAGATATATTCTACGTGCATCAAATTTGATGATCAGCTAGAAGGGAGAAGGGGAAAGAACACAGACGGCTCTTGAAGTGTCTACACTCAACAGATACACCCCATATTAAATATAAATTCATGGTTGTTATATTGCCTTCTGACAATAAAACGAGAAAAAAGAATTAAATTCTTCCCAAAACTGATACACACCACCTCATAAATCTCCAAATGCAGTGTTCACTATGCGCAACACTGTAGTGATTGAAGGAGTTAAAAGGGGACTAAATACACCTAAAAGCACATGGAGCTCTAGAAAGCTACTATCTCTCTGAAGCCATTTGGAAATAACCAAAGAACAAAACATGGGAATACCAACTAGCTTGCCTAGCCCAATTGCACACACAACCAGTCCAGCTCTAAGAATATTATCATAATTTGTTTAGGACATATGTAAGCCAGTAGAGTGACAAGTGTGAGATGTAGAGCACTCTAGTTGTAGAGAACCACAATACTTGTTGCGGAAAAGAAATTGAGTATGCCAATGAAATGGTTCCAAATACTAGCATTGCTATATAGGATTCATGTGATCAACCACAATGCAATTGAGGATCAATTTCTCAAAACATTGTTTTCATAACAAATGAAGAATGTGCATGTTGGTGCAGCAAAGAAAACATCCATATGCATATGTCAAATGAAAATGACAGACAATACATTTCATAGATCAATGGTTAGCAAAACAGAAATAAAGGACACATAGGGAGTCGCTGAAGCAAGATAGCTAGCACTCCTCCTATGTTACTGTTCCAGGAAGCATCCAATTACCACATACCAACAAGAGTACACAGTTAATAGAGAAACATACCCAAAAGTAAGTTTGAACATTAAGTAAATTACCACTTGGACCAAGAGACACTTCAGATATGATTTTTCAGCTCGACGGAGACGTTCAATTGACACTCTAATATACGGCTCAACCCAGTGATCCACCTGTCCCTTGCAATGCTCGAATACAACTTGAATAAGCTTAGGTGCGGACTCAATGTCACCATCCTCCAAATTTTTATCTCCCATAACCTGACAAGAAATATTTATTCCACATTTAATCTAAAGCAAATGATCAGAAGCTAAAATTCGGGGGCAGAATTCGACTTACAGATGATATCATATTCCAAAGGCTTTGTTGGTAGTCCGGATCCTTGCAAGTGAGGAAGTGAGCAGTACTCTTGGATATATAGTTGTCTAAAGGAACCAGTATATCTGCAAAAACATAAATCCAACCCAACAAAAAAGGGAACCAGATCAGGTAATATGCAGAACTGTAGTTTTTAGTTCCATATAAATGATTAAACATCTACCATCCCACTGGCAAAACAAAGAGCATATGCTACATTCCGCAGCACTTAGCATCTCTTTCACAGAAGAATACATCATATCTCACTACAGCCACAAGCCCTATTACTATAAGCAATATAACAGCATCGTAAAATCATTTCACCAAACATGGCCAATCTTTAGAAGGATGAGATGAAATCCAACCATCTAGATTGATTAGCAACTTATTCTTTACCACCAGCATCCCTCCCAATAAGATGAACAAGAGGAAAGTAAAGAAAATGGAAAAACATAGCTAGGAATAAGAGTAGTTCAAATTTCAAAATACAACAAGAAAAAACTGTTCTGCTCGTGAAAATCTTATCCACCAATCTCTCCCGGGACACAATGAAAATTATTTACTCCTTAAATCTAAATGGACAAGTTAAACACATGATACTTAGTTGAGCATATCATGAGTTCTTAGATAATTATTGAACCTCATAAACCTAGTCACACAGCAAATGTGTTTATTAAACAGGAAGGCTTTAGAAGCAACAGATAAAGACACCAAACAACCCCTTCGAAAAAGAGCATTTTCCCGACAGTAACATTAAAATGTCTACACATACTTGGAAAGAAGTCAATAGCCCAGTCTGCTAGCGCCTCCATCATCAAGGGCCAAAGAGTCCACATATCCATGGATATTGTTGGAGAGAAAAA